ATACATCTCTATAGGGTTCCACTAACATAAGGGTGTACTGCCACGCTTGCGGCACTACTACCAACTATGTGTGGAAAAAGTATAACCTGTGGGGAAAAACACTTTTTAAACCTTACTTTGGGGCAAAGACCTTTTCAGCATTTTGTATCAGATTTTACTTCTATCCATACAGTTTTTATGTCTCCATGACCAGTGAAAGTGCAGTTCTAGCTTTCTACCCATTTATTTAGAGAAAGGCCTGATCTTGTTATTCCGAAATAACTGCACGAAAGCGTTATCAAGATGGCTGCCGAGCGGGACTTGCCTATAAGAACTTTGATGTAGCCTCTGACAGAGAGTGGGGATGGTGCTGCGCCTGCCTCTGCTGCCACAAGGCCAAATGGTTCAATCACATCTTCCACTTTTCAACCACACATAAGTTATAACTAATATAGATTCTGTTATTTTTTTTACAGGTTAATGATGACATGATGAGGTCCCCACTATACAGAGGAGCATCTGTTACTCTTGGGCAAACCATCCTACTTCTGATGGCCTTTGCTGGAACCGTGGGATTGACACAAGATGGTCTGCAAAAACTTCTTCAAATTTTGATTCTTGTTCTACCACCAGATTGCCACTTGCCAGCAACAAAATATCTCTTCAAAAAACTATTCAAAACTGGGAAATATGTTTTTCATATATATTGCCCCAACTGCTTTTGTCTTTTGGATAATAATACATGTAAGACCTGCCATCAGGCGTTTGACAAAAACGAACTAAAAAAAAATGGAAACTTTTTTTTTTACCTTGCCTCTTATTGGCCAACTAAAACATGTCCTAGAGACTTTAAATCTTGGAGAGTCGTTGAACTACAGAAAGACTAGGCCAACAAACCCGGACGCAATTTCAGACATTATGGATGGGAAACTGTATGAACAGATGTGCAAAGACTCCAATTTAAAGAAAGATTACTCTTTTAGCTTCACTTTTAACTCTGATGGTGTACCTATCTTCAAATCCTCCTCTTTTTCTATTTGGCCCTTGCTATGTTACATAAATGACCTCCCACCTAATATAAGGAAAAAGAACATGTTTTTAGCAGGACTTTGGTTTGGTGTAAAAAAACCATCCATTTCCATGTTTTTTAAACAATTTATCAGTGAAATGAAAACTCTTGGTTCAGCAGGTTTTGAGTGGTGTTTAAAGGGTAAGATTGTTAAATCTTACGTATATGCTATAATTAGTTCATGTGATAGTGTAGCACGGGCTGCATTACAAAATGTCAAGCAATTCAATGGCAAATTTGACTGCAACTGGTGTCTACGTCCAGGGGATAGAGTCGAGAAAGGTAAGGGATATGTTCAAGTATACCCTTATCAGGAAGAAGTAGCAGAACGCTGCCACACAGACATGACTGAATGGGGACAAAACGGAGTGGTTGGTCAAAACTTTGGGGTGAAGGGGCCCACACCTTTGATGTCACTGCCTTTTTTTGATGTTGTCTCTGGATTTATTGTTGACTCCATGCATTGCATTGATTTAGGGGTGATGAGACAACTGTCTACCTTGTGGTTTGATAGTTCTTACCATAGTGAGCCTTGGTATATAGGAACCAGAATCAATGAGATAGATAGGAAAATGAAACATTTTCAACCTCCATCCAACATCACAAGATTGCCTAGATCTATCTTAACCAGAGCCTACTGGAAAGCCTCAGAATGGCGTGCTTTTCTCTTATTTTATGCTCCAATTGTTTTGAAATCCATTCTTCCAGGTAGATTTCTTAGGCACTTCCTCCTTTTGTGCCAAGCAGTGTATGTCTTGCAAACAACATCCATTACACAGCTGGAGCTTTTCTATGCATCTCAACACCTGAATGAGTTTGTGTGTGATTTTGAGACCTTGTATGGTAGATCCCACATGACATACAATGTTCATATTCTACTTCATCTTGGTGACAGTGTCAGAAACTGGGGGCCCTTATGGTGTTACAGTGCATACAGTTTCGAAGGGTGTAATGGCTTTCTGTTGAAACTATACAATGGCACTCAATCTGTACCCTTACAGATAGTAACATCTTTTCTCTTACTAAAACAAGTAGAGAGCACTGGCAATATGGTGATGATAAATGTTCCACCTAAAGTAAGGCAGTTGTTTGACACAATGCTAGATGGCTATAATACAACTAAAAATGCAAGAAGAGTGAACGGCACTGTGCTTTTTGGAAGAGGTTACTTCAGAGCTCTCAATCTATATGAAAGGGAGGCTGTTGAACAACAAATTGGATACCCTGTCAAAGATCAAGCTATGTTTTACCACAAAGCAGTAGTTAACTCACAGATATTTCTAAGCATTAGTTAAAAAACTTAAGAGGGATAACACTCTAGTTAGGATATCTGATGGCAGTGTTTGCCAGATAGTGTCTTTCTCAATGTTAGGAGTCACACTGGCTGTGAACATGCATTATGTCTAGCCAGAAAGTGTGTGACAAAACCTAGATTGTTTCTTCAAGGCTGCTATGGTGAATCTAGGTGCCAGATCAAGCATGTGATGTCAATACCATTTGAATTTAGTGATTTGATTGCTCTAGACATCTGCCAACTGTCCGAAAAATGTGTAGTATATAGAAAAGATAATGGTTGTTTAATTTCCTTAATGCCTAACAATTTAGAGCGAGATTAAAGTCTGAGCGGGTTACTCAGATTACAGAGCAGGTTACCAAGTGCCCCACTTGCACAAGCCAAATGTAACACATTCATTTTAGTGATTCAAACTGTTTGGTGTTTTTTCATTGTGTTTGTGAAACGTGTACCACAGACACATTCTTGTCTTCCTAGCTTCTTTGGAAAATGTAGACAAATGACGCACACATGTAACAATGACTAGACATGAAATGAACAGAAACATCATGCAAACTCTGAATCCGCAGAGGAATCTGTAACTACAGCGGCATTATTTCAGCTGTAATAACATCCCACTCTGTAAACACAGTTAATATTAATGGCCGTGCTGCTGATGTTGTGGAGGACTTTAAAAGTCCTACTTTGAGCTTTGGAGGCTCATTTGTGCCACCACAACACCACAGCACCAAACTGAGAGACTATTCCTGATTTCATTTAATCTCAGACATTTATAATTATTATTGATTGTAAAGTGTAAATAGTGTGTTGATACTTGTATAATACTGCATCTCTTCTTTTATATTCCTTTGTGCTGCTGTGTCGACTGAAATTTCCCCTACGAGGGATTAATAAAGTTATATCTTCTCTTACTTTGGCCCTCTGCTTGAAAGAGTTTTACAGCAACTCTGATGTATAAAAAGGCTAAGCAGCATGTGTTTTTAGCTGAGTGAGTTGAACAGCTTCTGACATCCTGGAGCTGGTGTAGAACAAGAAAAAAATGCGTAGGCACTTCCTGGTTCATGTCATGAGTGGAAAGACACGACAGAGTTCACAAGCTGAGAAGCTGAGGGTTGATGAGGCCACGAAGTCTTTCGTGATGAAATCATCGAACGTGGTGGAAACTTTTCATGAAAGAGTCCTCCCAGAGAAAGTGTGGTGCCCCACTGTCTGTTGGAAACGTGTTGATCACAGCTCATCATCTGAATGTGACCAGTTTTAAACTGTTTTTTTAACTGTTTTCTCTTCTTGCTGATAAAACAAAGAATCAGCTCAGGAGAAAACAGAGCAGACAGACGAGCAGCAGCTCTCAGTCAGTCAAAGTAGTTCAGTTCAGACTCCACAGTGAAGACATTTAAATTAAAAGCAGGTTTTTCTCAGTTTAACTTTGTGTCTGTGAGCAGCAGCAGGATAAACTCGTCTCCTCCCTCATGATACAGTCTGTAGTATTTCTCATGTGACTCCATGATAAAGATTAAATCCCAAATGTGGAGGCAAAGTGTTTCAGCTGCTGTTGAACTCAGAGTTTCAAACTCTGACTGATTCTTTCACTTTAAGAAGGAAACATGATGATGTTACTGTGTGTAGTTTTATCTTCAAGACGTCATGCTGGCTGGGAGCCAAGTTGCTCTGAACAAAGAGGTTTCATTAGTGATCGCTCTGGAAAGAGTCTGACGTGGGATTCAAAGGCTTTCACTGGACGTTTTTCTGCAGTTTGAAGCTAACTTTAACTGATAAAACTCAGAAATAAAGAATAATAAAGCAGGAAGTGTTTTGTTACAACATCTTTACTGAGCAGCTTGTTGTTTACTCTCTGGCAGCTTTTCACTCACTCTAACACTGTTGAGTTCTTGTTAATAACTTACAAACATTTGACTTGTATTTATAAATTATGTTGTTGTTCATTGTTGCTTAAATATACTGTATGTATGTACATGTGTATATATTAAATATAGCTACAGTTCGCCATCTTTATGGGGCTTTTCCCAGAGGAAATGAAGGTGACTGTGAGATGTTTTAGATAACATAACCTGCTGGAACTAATCTGAAGTTTGAAGGGCGTGACTTTGTGTTGAAAAGTGGTGGGGACAAAAGGGCTCAGATTAGTGGCGGGATGATACATTTGGGTAATGAGACGTGACGATGCACGAGATCACAAGAAGATATTTAGCAGTATTTAGATAAAATATTTAATGCAGAAATATATGAGGGGTGTCTGGGAGACCTCCACCAGAACATTATGAGCATTTAACTGGTCATTTCCTGCATCCTGGAGACATTTTCTGCTCCAATTTACGGTGGAAATGTCTGTTTTTATATGAGGGGAAACTATATTGCATTGTAGGTTTTCTTATTGTTAAAATGAACCTCTCTCAAAGCATTTTCATTTGTTAGTTTACTTTTCTTGGTGTTGTTTTTCAGAACGTTTTTAACAAATGCTTTCAAAAAGCGATGGGGCCAAAATCAGCCCTTTGAAAATGTCCTCAGTGACACCTATACATGTAAACTCTGTGTAAAGGCCAACAGAGTAGTTAAGCACTATTTTGATTATAGCTACGCTATAAGGTTTTATTATTACGGTATCGGGCTTTTATTTTGATAACCAAAGAAACCGAAAGTAAAGTGACGTAAATGAACCGGGCAAACGGCGAAAAGGACGAAAGAAAAGTCTGAAAAGGTTCACGGAAAAACAGTTAAAACTACAAGGTTTAGCTTCGGTCAATTGGGGAACAAGGTTTGTAGAGTTAATGAGAAATATATTTGAGCTAGCCTACTGGAATTGTTTATCGTATAATGTATAATTTACTAATGCTATCGTATTGCAACTAATGTAATGAGCTGTGTAACGTTCGAAATGTGATGATAATGCATGGTTTATTTGTTTTTACTCAGCTCTTACGTTGGTTGATGACAATGAAAGCAATAAACGTCATTTAACCATCAGTTCTGGCCTTCTCAACTTTGACTGGATGCTACACTCTGCAGGACGCTCACTTTGTGTCTTTGTTGCTGACGCAGTTCTGTTCTCCTGCAGCGAAGCTCCTGTGCTGCTCCCTGCTGGCTGTCTGTCTGCATGCACAGCTGAAGCACAGATATTTAGAATATCCGTAACAATGTGGAAAAGTGTTTTAACTTTAATGCATGCTGGGAGGTGAGGCATGAAGTAAATGATCAATTGGACGTTTACTCACCTTAATTCATTATAATACATTATACATAAACAATATAAACTTGAAACTGTAATCACCCTGAGAATTGTTGATTGAATGCAACAGATGTGACAAAACCAATTAAATTCAACATATGTTTTTAAATAAATGCACAAAATCCCGGAGGCAAAGAGGCAGGACAGACTCTTTAATTATGATTTCCTCTGGTTACCCCAGGACAGTATATATACTGTCAGTGCTTTGTTAAAGTTGCTTCTTTATCTATTCTATTCAGACTGTGTGAGTTTATGGTTTCTTGTAACCACTTTACATGAAGTTTAATTTCATACAAACGTTTTTGTTTTTCTAACTGTGACTTTCTGTCATCTAAAGTTATGTTGAGTCGGGTGTCAGTACCTGAGTCCAGGTGCTCAGTTTAAGAGCAGTTTTTTAACAGTAAAATAAACGTATAGTATCAAAAGCAAAACTCATTATGCAAATGGCCCCATTCAGATGATGAATATTATTAAAAGGTGCACAAGTATGTTGCCATGGCAATTTACGTTTCCAACTAGCTCTCTCTGTACTGGTTTGCCCTCAAGACCTGCTCTTCAATACCACACAGCACCGCCTCACACCCTGTACACCTGAGACAGAAAAGGCCGACATGGAGGGAAGGAGAAAGCCGATTGTGAGTTCGGAAAACACATAATTGAGACATAAATCTAAAGTGTGTGCACAGACACATTAGTCCACTGTTCTTTTAGAGAGCAAAGTTAATTCAACAGAGAACCGCTATGTTTCCATTTTTTCAGGCAGTGGGAAGATCTGGTCCATGTCCAACTGAAGACACGAGACTCATATGTGGAGACGGCAGTACTGCTGGACACTCTCACAGCAGGTTATCTTCGTGGTTAACTCATGTCACCCTGTATACAGACTAGGCTGTTATAAGCCAGAGATTATTCAAGGTTTTACTTTAAGATTTGTGATTTTAATTGTAGGCCAATTTTCTTGTATTCTTGTCCCAGCTCCGTATTTTTTTTAAAACATCTCAATCAAATTACAAATAAAGATATCACTCATGAATCAAACACTCAGGAGGGCTCCAGTAACCTTGCTTGTCACATGACCATCCTGTGTGATGTGATCTGGAGGTTTCACTGAAGGACGTTTGATAGATCCATGTTTGGGGACCACAGTAGGCTGTAGATGTTTCCCTCTTTAGATTTTAGTTCTGAATCTATCTGCTGTGCAGTAAAATGTTGCAGCCTCAGCACCTTTCAGTTAACTCACACCAGTTTAGCTTTAACAATAAAGGTTCAGTCTAGCTGGTGTGGTTGCAACACTCAGAGCAGGTCCTGACCTCCCTGCCTATAGGGCATTAAAGAATTTGACATTGCTGCAGTCACACCTGATATCTAGTGATGGGAATTACATTAAGTAAAAACAGACAGAGTGTATCTACAGTTTTGGAATAATTTATCCACTAACTATTTAACTTTCATTAGAAGGGTGTTATTTCTGTTACTCTTGACTTATCACACTTTTTACTTTATAGCTTTCTCTTTTTAAGGCCTAATATAATTTAGCTATAATAAAAAATAATCACCCCAAGTACAGTTGTCATGAGCGAGACAAAACATGTTTATTTCTGCTGTACAGTTGGGCACTTTAAGATTCAAGTGTATGGGGAGTGACTCTCGTAGCATCAAATGGCCACTGGGTTATTTGAGGTTTTTGCTACTTCCGGGAGACGTCGGTTGTGCTGCGAATGCTGAACAGATACTTGTGGTGACTGACTCACTCATGGAGGAAACTTATATAAAAAAACAAAAAAAAGACAGCAGACACACTAAAGACTGGTTATGTTATACAGAGGGAGCAGCAGGAGGAGCAGCAGGAGCGGGTCTGTTGTCTGGATCTGTTGTTCTCTGTTGGATTTTCTATGCTGGATCATGGCGGAGGCGCAGAGGACACCGGATATCGCTAAGAAGCAGTTTCTTCCCCAGAAAGCAACAGTTTCTACCTGACGGGACGATATGAGGGTGAGGAAGTCAGTTTAGTGACCGGCCATGACACAAATACAACATTTATTCTCTTTTATACCGCAGATTTATAGCAGGCAGTTTCAGGCCTAAAGGGTTCATAGCTGTTAACCACTGTGTAAACAGTAGAATAAATACATAAACAACTTGTGGAGAGAAACATTTTACATCCAAATGTTGTTTGGCATAAGTTGGTGAAGTTGGTCTCTGGTGTGGCGGTCAGGTGACCTGATCCGAGACAATGGTTGGTTATTTTCTTCCCCCTCCTCCCACTTGACGGATGACAATACCAGTCAGTCTTTATCTGCTGTCTGTGGTCATAAGGCCGCTTGAGCTCCGTCATGCTGCGTAAAGGGAGCAGATGTGGTGTCATGGTGCTCTCTGTCAACATGTTAATGGCTTTCTGCTGTTTCACGGTCTTCTCTCCGCTCTCTGCATATGGAGGTGAGCTATGTGTTATTAGAGTTAGAGAGCTGTAGCTGATATGTCTTTATTTTATTTTTTTAAAAAGCCTTTGTTCATTGCCATCTCATCCTGCTCCGTTTGTCCTACAAGCCTTGTTTCAACTTTAAATTGTACATGTTGGAGCCATTCTGTGTATTACGATGGGTTGGTCTACTTAAGACATGGGGTAATTAGTACAGGTGTGGCGCACTGCGAGGTGCGTGGTTTTTAACCGTGAGGCGCAGCGTGTAATTATGGAGACTGACTTGAGTTAAGTTATTATTGAATAAATGTTTTATTTTTCGTTATGTTAATAAATGGATTGGCATATCCGACGTTAAGTTCAGACTTTTGAAAGTTTATTATTTTATTTTATTTATTTTAAGCCACAAGGAAACAGCACGCCCGACGTGCAGAACGACTTAAATGTGCGCCAACAGAACATATTCTTCATGAGATGTGCGCTACAACTCTGAGAGAGAGAGAGAGAGAGAGAGAGATGTGTAGAGAGGGGAGGGATGTGTAGAGGGATGTGTAGAGGGGGAGGGATGTGTAGAGGGATGTGTAGAGGGGGGAGGGATGTGTAGAGGGATGTGTAGAGGGGGGAGGGATGTGTAGAGGGATGTGTAGAGGGGGGAGGGATGTGTAGAGGGATGTGTAGAGGGGGGAGGGATGTGTAGAGGGATGTGTAGAGGGGGGAGGGATGTGTAGAGGGATGTGTAGAGGGGGGAGGGATGTGTAGAGGGATGTGTAGAGGGGGGAGGGATGTGTAGAGGGATGTGTAGAGGGGGGAGGGATGTGTAGAGGGATGTGTAGAGGGGGGAGGGATGTGTAGAGGGATGTGTAGAGGGGGAGGGATGTGTAGAGGGATGTGTAGAGGGGGGAGGGATGTGTAGAGGGATGTGTAGAGGGGGGAGGGATGTGTAGAGGGATGTGTAGAGGGGGGAGGGATGTGTAGAGGGATGTGTAGAGGGGGGAGAGATGTGTAGAGGGATGTGTAGAGGGATGTGTAGAGGGGGGGGGGAGGGATGTGTAGAGGGGGGGGGGGAGAGATGTGTAGAGGGGGGGGGGGAGAGAGAGATGTGTAGAGAGATGTGGGGGGGGGGGGAGGGAGATAATTATTAATAATAATATTTTTCGGACTTTTAAAATGAATGGGTTCCTATGGTAAAGACTCAACTTTCTTTCAACCTACTCAACTTTAAACGCTTTCTGCTGGAGCAGAAAGATGGAGCAGATGCAGCTACAGACTAAATTTGACTTTTTCTAGTTGTACCTGGTGCCATGTTCCGTATCACTGCACTCCACTGACCACCACATTATTGTTGAGAGCCTGACAAGCGTTTGTATGCTCATTCCCTGGGGGAATACCTATTGGATGGTTTATTCTTTGATTGATGTCTTTTGAACCAATAGTATTTAAGATAAGTGGGGAAAAGTACCTCCTCCGCATGTGTACAGATGTTCATTAGGGTTAACGGTGTTCCGTGCAGACTGAATAACTTGATTTTAATGGCGTAAATGGACGTTATTACATGTACCATATGTGAGTTATTAATTTATTTTAAAAGAGAGGAAGTTATTTAAATTATTAATAACGGTCAGGACATTTAATTTCTTTAAAACATAAGTTAATTACTGCTTTAATAAGCTAGAAGGCACGTGACTTAAACATGAACCATGTAACGTTAAAATGTTAGTGGACAAAGTAGAAAGAACAAGAAGAAGGGCAAACAATGTGCATTTGCTAAAATGTTTTTAACCTTATCTTAATCCTTTATAAATATAAACGTCTTCACTGCGCACAGGATGACCTGCAAACAGCGGCTGTGTCGACAGACGTGCTGCCTGTCACGGTGTGCGAGTGGCACCAAGCGGTCATTGCCCGGAATTGACGTTTAAAAAAATCCTATTTCAAAGAATTTATTCAAAAATGTAATATATTTGATTTGTGATAACATAATAATCATTTCATAAAGAGTGTAGTACTGTGAGGAGCATTAATTCAAACTAAATGTACATTTTCGCTCCCCACCCAAGTTTTGTCCCTTGTTTCCCATTAAAATCGAAAAAAAGTTGTGACCCGAATCATAAAAATTATGTTTTTTGCTATAACTTTTTTAATTTTTGAGATATTGGCCTGAAATTTGTAGGATAAGCTGTTTGCCATATCGTCTACATATTCTACTTTTGAAAAGTCAGGTACACCATAATATATAAAAACCCCCACTAATTACGCCAAATAATACTCTTTATTTAGACAGCACTTATAAAAACAAAGTTACAAAGAGTTAAAACTATTTGGAAATACAACAGTGTACTTAATAGACCACTTTGTGTAATAAACTGACCGTTTTAGAGGTTTTGGTTAGAAGCAAGTTGCTGCAATACTGATAAATTATTCATTAATAACCCCAAAATTGGCCATAGATTAATGCACTAATTATAATTTTCATTTGTTTTTACCGAATGGTTTCATATCTAAACTCCGTGACAAGTTTTAGATTAAAAACACAAGCATTCAATACATATCTATTTTATGTATTACATTACATTTCACCCACATTAAAATAGGGTCAAATCTTTCAGAATCAAATCGGATGCAAGTTGGTATTTCGAAATTTCATAATCAGTGGCATCATCCTCATAATTTTGATACACATGTATCTCCTTGTTTCTTCAGATATTTATCAATTTATCCATAATATATGGTTTCACTTTTTGTGTCCTTGTCAAACCAGATGTGGCATATTCTTCTTCCCACAACCTTTCCCCTACAATTTCATCAACTACAGTCTTCATTCAATTCAATGCTCGAAAAAGTTTGGCTTCTTCAGTTTTGCCTCCAGCTTCTTCCTGTCACTTTCCTGTCTTTGCTGCTGTTTAGCTGCAAGTCTCTTTATTACTTCCTCTTGAATTTCACAGTTCTCTTTTCTCCGTTGCCTCTGTTTCGTTGCATTTTTTATGGCAACTTTAATCAGTTTTTCTCTTTTTTCAGATGTCAGTCCATCCGGGTAATCCAGCACTTTATTTTTCTGAGCACGAATCTTACAGGAGATGAAGCCAAGGTGGCATTTGGGGCCTTGTCCTTTAGAGCAGAATACATGCCCATCACTTGCTCTGCGTCAATGTTATGTAAACGAGCACTTTCTGTCTACTTCCTCAGCTGATCATTTACATCCATGTTAAAGTACCTCTGGTACTGCCTTGTGAGGACATTGTGGACTGCATTTCCCTTCCATCACTGACAGAAAGAGATCTCTGTCACAGGTTCCACCAGAAGGGCCTCAAGATTTGGACTTCTGGACAGCTCAGCACCAAACTCACGTGTCACAGAGAGAATTTGTTAAGGTTCTTGTTGAAATACTTCTAACCTGTCTAGAACCTCCTTTACCATGACCAAACCTTCAATGTGACCGATTTCAGAGGCTGCGCCCTTGTAAAATCTCGACGTCCAAGGCCCAGTCAGCACTTTCCCCAAAAGACCAGGCACCTGAATTTCCTCCATTGCAACAGGGACTTTGAAAGTCATGTTGAAGGGCACCTCCGAGCCTGCTGCATGAAAATGTTTGTCCATTAAGAACTGCACAAAGAATTTCTTAATGTGTGTTCATGAAGCCGTTCACAGATCAGGAACATAACATGGAGCCTGTTTCCTCTGTATCTTGGCAGCAAACCTGTGGGACATCTCCGATAACAACACCAGTGCGCTTTGCAAACTGAGAAATTAAAGTGGGAATGTTTTTTTGTAGGAAGATTATTTACTATTGCTTCATAAACAAGCATCTCATTTCTGTGGGATACTGCTTCTCTCCTTTTTTAATTTCGAGTCACGCTGCTGATCATTAACTGTATCCTGTAGCCACATATTGTCACATTGCAGCTGGCAGATAGCGTAATTTTTTTCTCTGAGCTTTCCTTGCAAATCATCAATAGTAGCATCTTGTTGGTCATTTAGCCCTTGTGCCCGGATTTTAAAGTGTTTTAAACGATTATGCTTTTTTGTAATTTTTTAGTTTTCCTTTGACATCACAAAGTTCCTTCACTATGACTAGTTTGGAGTATCTGGAATGAATTTCAGCAATTATGAAGTCTTTTTTTGCTTATGATGCATCTTTTCGTTTCAGAAGTTGTCTAAGATGTTTTACTTGTACAACCTGTAGTGCTGGTGCCTTTAATTTAGCTCTAAATTTTTTCACTTTGTTCAGGGGATTTTGCTTCATCTCAGCTCTTTGTCTTGCATCAAAAGCTAATGTCTGATGCATCTTAAGTTTCCTTGGTGTCAACAAACCCTTTCGCCGTAAGGAACGAATGGATAGTGGTGTGTCAGAGGTGCCAGGGACCTTGGACTTCATCAGTGTTGCTGGACTTTCACTTGATGTTTCTGTTTCTGATGCGTGTAACACGTAATCCAAATCAGTGGGTCCAACATCTCCAGTGGAAGGCCGACTTGGGTCGTCATTTATATCACACCACGAGGAGGCTGACCATTGTTCAGCTCAAAGGGTCCTAATGCTGGGCTGGGAACAACATCAGTGATGGAAGGAAGGTTTCTT